GCTGAGGCTGCCTCGGGGCCTGGGTGCAGGTTATCTCCACTGCGGAGGCGGCGCACCTGTAGCAGGGCGTCGTGGTCAAGTACGAGGAGCAGCTGAAGTGCAGCTTGAAGTCCAGCTTCTCATGGGTGGCGCCTTCGTCGTCCTGCAGTAGAGTGGAGGCCACAGCTGAGCGGGGAGCCTCGTCTGGGACACCCCGACACCCCACAGGGTGGGGACGACCAGGAACAGCAGCCAGCCAGGTCCCCAAGCCTGCAGAGCTGGCTCCCTGACACCAGCCCGCGCCCCGCGTGCAGGTGCAAAGCGGCATGTACCTTGGCGATGAAGGACAGGGTGCCCTTGAGCTTCTGGGCCATGACGATGCTCTGGACGGTGAACACAAACTGCGCTTCGTTGGAGACACCTGGCCGGGACAAGTGGCAGCAGGGCCTGAGCCTCAGCCCCAGTGCCCCTCGCTGACGGGCAGCTCACCTAGGAGCTCCAGGACTCAGGAGCAAATACAGGGATTTCTGGTGTCGCCCCCCGGCCCCAACCTGGTCCCACTGCCACCCACAGACGGCAGACTCGGCCACCGGGCCTGCCCTCGGGCCGCAGAGAGCCCGCGAGACCCCAGATGCCTGGGGGCTCACCCGGGGGCAGCTGGAAAGGCACGGGGACGCCGTCGTGGACGGAGGAGCCCTCCGGCCGGGCCATCCTGGTGTTGAGCGAGTCCAACACGCTGAGCTCCATGCTCTTGAGGACGCTGCTGCTGCGGTTCTCCAGGATGATCGACACGGTGACCTGGCTGTCCTGCAGGCTGCCCTGGACGCCGTAGGTCTGCAGGAGCAAGGCCAGCGTCAGCCGCGGTGGCCTGAAGGCCCGAGTCCCTCTCTCCCCAACGGCCACAGAAACAGCAGGCCTTCTGCACGTGCAGAGACAAGCAGGGAGGGGCGCACTCCCAACCGGAGAGCCACGGCCTATCTCTTCGTGAACACACCACAGTAACCCTCCTGTCCCGCAGCGGGCCAGTATCCAACACCACCACGGCCAAGTACTGCCTCTGAGGATGTGACCCTGGGTGCGCAGACATCCCAGAGCCTCCGGTGCCCCCAGGGTTTCCCACACGATCCTTTGTGTCAGCTGAGGTTGCCAGCCCCACCCCAGACCCCAGTAATGCCCACAGCACTCACCATTTTAATGTAAGAATTTTCAGCCAGGAGGGAGTAGCTGGACATAGGCTGGGGAGAAGAAAAGACACTTTAGCTCTGGGTGACAAGAACCCACGAGCTCCGTCCCTTGAAGGACTGCTGGAACGCTGGGCGACAAGCGTCAGAGGGCACCAGGCTGGGAGCCCCCGCTCGTGGGAGCACAGCCTCCACCACGAGGTTCGACGGCTGGAGGAGGGCGCCCGCCAAGCCCCAGGGTCCCGCCGCCCCCCCCAGCGTCTCGGCTCTGTCTAGAATCGGCTCAGTTCTCTCCCTGAAGGAGGCACAGGCACCAGCGAAGCCCCAGCCCCAGCCGCCCTCTGCGGGAGGGGCTGGGCGCTGAAGTACCCCTCACCGGGAGAGGCCCCTCCTCGAGCGCGCCGTTCTGCACGGGCTCCCCCGGCGCCTCCTCACTCCCCGGCAGCTTCTTCCTGGATCTCTTCTTGTCCTTGGGCCGCTCCTCCCTCTCCTTCTTGTGCTTCTTCTTATGCTTGGAAGGTTTCTGGGGTGGGAGAGTCCAGGGTTAGCGAGTGGCACCCCAAAGGGAGCCACCGCAGCTGTTAAGAGGGCCCTACAGCACCGGGCGCTCTCTCGGCATGAGGGTGGGGTCACCCATGCCAGGGGGTGACCGCAGGACCAGCCATTCTCCAGGGCCACAGAGACCCAGCTGCAGCAAGGACCTCACTCCTTGGCAGTGGCACACAGGGGAAAGACAACAAGAACTCCAGACACAATGCACAGTGACACGCCCGAGAGAGAAAACACACGTCCACACGGAAGCTTGTCCACGCACGTTCACAGCAGCACAACTCACTACAGCCAAAAGGGGGGAACAGCCCGAGCGTCCACTGATGGGTGAACGGTCCATCCACACACTGGAGTGTCACTCAGCCACGACAAGGGACAAGGCTCTGACATAGGCCATAGCGTGGGTGGACCCTGGGGACACTGTGCTCACAGACACAGACAGACACACAGTGTGAGACTCCGTTTATGTGAAATGTCCAGAACAGGCAGATCCATGAAGATGGGACGTGGATTTGTGGTCTCCTAGGGCTGGGGGAAGGAATGGGGAGGGACTGCTGATGAGGACAAGTGTCTTTTTGGGATGCTGGAATGTTCTGGAATCAGAGGTGGTGGTTGTGCAACTCTGTGAAAATCTTAAAAACACTGAACTGCACATTTAGGAAAAGTGAAATCTATGGGTCGTGAATCACATCCCAAAAAGCTGTTATGAGAAAATAGAACAATAACCACCACCAAAGACCACTAAGAGATCACAGAGGTGAAGGCGGGAGCTGGGCTGCCCTTCTCGGGGGATCCAGGGGCAGCCCCATCACCACGTGGGTGGCACCTGGTGCACATGGCCAGAGGCACAGGCCCATCCACCCCACCCGGTGCCTGCCAGGCTGCCTGCCCTGGGCCTCACCTTCTCCTGGTCTTGGTCCTGGTCCTCCCCATCCTGGGCCTCTCTCCTGGGTTCCTCCAGCTCGTCTTTGGGGGCGGCGTCAGTGTTTGTGTTAGCACTGAGCGTGTCCTGCAGGGAGCCAGGATGGAGGGCTCACGGCTGCCAGCAAGGGCCCTGCGCCCACCCTCAGCCCTCTGTGAGAAGAAAGGGGCCCAGGCACCCCTGCGAGTCCTGTGCCCTCGCTCCCCAAGAGGCTGGGGGCCCCTGTGAGTGGCATAGAAGTAACAGAGCCTTCGGGTGTCGAGGCCCGGCAGGGTTCCCCTTCCTATTCACACCTTGCCCAGCACAGGACACGAGCCCTCCAGCCCTGCGGGTGGACAGGTTATTAACAGGGAAGCACAGGGCCCGCCAAGGGAGACCTCAGAGCTGGGGACCTGATGTGACCTCTGAAGACACGCTGGCACCGCCAGGCTCTTACCGTGGACGGGACCGGGGCAGGCGGTGGGGTGGTGGACAGCCAGAAGTCTAAGTCCTCGCCCTGAAACCACAGCAGGAAGGCAGGAAGGGCTCAGGGCGCGGCCGGGCCCAAGGGCAGCCACACCCTCCCTCACTGCTCCCACCAGGGCCCTGGGCCAAGTGAGATTTGCAGAACCTTCTGGTCAAGGAGCCGAGGACGTGTTAGGTGTCCAAGGCTGACTCGGCTACACTGCTAAAGCAGCGTCGGCAAACAGATCGGCACATGGGTGTGCGCTGTTCCTGCAATCTACAGCCACAGCGGCCTGCACGCCTGTCAGCAGGGAACAGGCTCCACGTACGCACTTCTTTAAAAAACCCACTTCATTCCCTGTGTGAAAACGTGGACACCGAGGAAAGGTTCTGCAGCCGCGCGAGGGCGGCTTCCCCACCTCGCCGGGCTGACCAGTGCTGCCGAGAATGTCCTCGCTCAGGGATGGTCTGGTCCTCGTGGGGCCCCTAAACGTGAGCTCACGGACAGCCCCGACACCCCATGCCCAGGCTCGGAGTCACCACGTCCCGTGCGCTCGCCACTGTCTCTGACACCTGGCTCCAGGGCGAGGGAGGGGAGTGGAGACAGCCCCGGCCTGGGTGCCGACCTCACCTTCCTCTCCTTCTCCTTCTTCTTCTCTTTCTCTCTCTCCTTTTCTTTGTGCTTCTTCTCTTTTTTTTTGGGCTTCTTACTCTTTTTTTCTACCACGGGAACGTCTTCTTTTTCGGGGGACTTGGCGTTCTCAGCGTTCCTATGTTTCTGGACAGGCAGCTTCTCACTGTCGGCCAAGGGCCTTGTGAGGGGAGGGGCCGGAGGTCAGGAGGGAGTGCGGCCCACGCCTGCCACCCAGCCCCACAGCCCGGTCCACCCCGACCACTGGGGTACCTGCCAACATCTCCACGGATGCACCCCGATGGCCATACCCTCCCCAGCGCCCCAGGACCTCGGACCTTGGAACCCACGCTGGGTTAGGGCCGGTCTTGGTCAGAAGACAGTTGCCAAGCAGCGCTGCCAGTCACTGCCTGGGGAGAGCCCAGGCCACACATCCCTGCCTGGTCACCCCACCCTAGCCCGGCCCCCACTCCACAGGAGGAGCCCCTTGGTCTGCGCCCGGCCGCATGGCAGCCCCCCACCCCCACACCGGACGCCCACCAGCACCCTTCCTTACTTATCCAGGTCGATATCCAGGGCCCTGTAGGGGTCGTTGGGGTCTTTGTCGTCCTCGTCGCTGGGCAAAGCATTCTGAGGGGACAGAAGGGAACTCCGTGTCCATTGAGCCTGCCCCGTGGCCTAGTGAGGTCCCTTATCCCTGACACAGTGGGACTGCCCGAGACAACCAGGGCTGTGGGCAGTGACGCGGCCTCGACAGGGAGGACACTGCTCATTATCCTCATGTGCCAAGGGCTGCTGGGCCCCAGAAATGTAGCAGATGCACATCTGCCCTTGGGGCTGCTGGCCTCCTGGGGCGGGACGTGGGGGGAGTCCACTCGCGGCCAGCAAGACCTCCCCCAGGGTCCTGGCCAGGACAAGCTCAGCCACGGGGATGTAGAAAGGACGCGTCCCCCAGGGCCAGCCCCCTGAGGCCACCACGGTGAAAGCCCCCAGCTGACCTCGGGCATCTCCTCAGTGACGATGTCCACCTGCTGAGCAGGAGCGATGTCCTCGTCACTCTCCGTGGGCAGCGAGCTGTGGCGGCGCTTGCCCTTCTTCTCCTTGTCCCTGCGCTTCTTCCTGCGCTTGTCCTTCTCCAGCCTCTGCCGGTGCCTCCGCTCCTCCTCTAGCCGCACATACTGGTCCGACAGGGGCAGCCCTGCAGGCAGCAGCGGGCTGAGCGCAGGGCCCTGGAGCCTCGAGGGGATGGCAGCAGCCCTGGGAGCCGTGGGGCCGACGGACACTTGCCTGGGACCTTCAGCGGGACAGAGAGGTCAATCTGCACCACGGGGATATGCTCCACGCCCGGTGTGTCCTGGTAGCGCTGCAAAGGCAATCGCGAGGCGTTACTGGCCGCCAGGCAGGGTGCGCCTCCCGGGAACACGAGCCTGGGGCCAAGACATGTCAACATTCCCGGGGGGAGCCGGGTGCCAGGGCTCTGGGCTGTGAGAGCCACTGTGTGCACAGCTCAGCCCCTGCTGCACGTTTTCTTAACAACTGGGGCGAATTTTGTGGTTCAAGGAAGACAACACAGGTCTGTGGCACTAGGAGCAGCACAGTTTTCCTCAGTTTTTTCCCTCAGAATCTTTTTGGTTCAGATTAGAAAAGCAATACAGCCTCCCAACACAGCACGCCCACCAGGACGGCAACAGTCAGAGAGTTGGACGACAACCGGTACCACCAAGGGCGTGAAGAAACGAGCCGCATGACCCCCCAACTCCACTCCCAGGATCTGCCCGAGAAGCAGCAAGGACAACCCAGGGGCTTAAAGGGCCGAGCAGGACGCACTCCGTGGCAGCTCGGTAGAGCGTACAGACGCAGGATGGGCTGAGATACCAAGGGACGTGCCCACATGTGCTGCCTTCCTGCAGAGACGCACCGACTCCTCCCCCTCCGTGCACAGAAGCCCGTGCTCCCGCTGCAGCCCTCCCTGTCCCTCCCTTGCCCCTCTGCAGTGGCTGAGCGCCACACACTACTGTGCTCAGCGGCTGCCTCCACCACATGGGTCGCAGGGTACGCCCTGCAACCTGGCACTCCTTGGAGACAGGCCCCCAAGTGCTGCTGGTGGCTGAGGACAGTCAGCCCTGGGCACCTGCTGAGCAGCGATCGTCCCTCGGACATGTGCTCGGGAACCCGCCTCACCTTCTGCGGGGACGGAGAACTTTTGATGTAGAACGGGTTGTTGGCCTGCTCCTGCTTCCGGGCCTCTCGACGCTGCAGGGATAGGATGCGCCGTGAACACGGGTGAGCTAGGACAGGGATGCCGGGGGCTGGGCCCCGCCAATGGCTCCCCACCCTGGGGAGGGGGAGGCTGGCTATCTTATTTTCACTGTTGGCCTTTTACTAACAAGGAACTGAAGCCGGTGGCTGGAAAGAGCACGTGCTGTGGAAAAGGCAGTGCTCAGAGTCCAGGAGGCAGGGACACCCGCCTCCACCTCAGGGATCGGAGTTCAGAGAGGTCGGCTGCCCTGCCTGGGGTAGTGCTGCCTGAAGGCTCAGCAGCAGGGCACAGGACACAGCACTGGGCACCACCCTGGGCACCTGCCACTGCGGAGCCAGCACGGGAGGCAGAGCTTGAGGGAGGGCTGCCCTCTCCCCGTGCACGAGAGCAGGGCGAGAGAGGGCTTGATGACTTCAGAAAGAGAGGGGCCAATGCCAGAGCGGGGATGGGGGCAGGTGCCACCTCCAGTGGGACCCTGGGGCTACCCTCTCGTCTCTGCCCCTTTTGGGCCATGTAGACACCGCACGTGTCTACAGCGTGCCGTGGCAGCAGTACCCTGGAGGGCCGGGCCTAGCCAAGCATCCACAGGCCCGTGGGGAGGTCAGGCTGACGGGTTCTCCTGGGGAGGCTCCAGGATTTGGAGAATCCATTCCCCATGGCAACAAGACCCAACCTGATATCAGGTGTCCCCTCAGGGCGTAGGGAGCCTGCCTGGCAGACCCCAGGACAGAGAGGGACAGAAGGAGGCCGCGCCCCCCTGCCCCCCGCCACGCCCTTACCCGGGCCAGCTCTTCCTCATCCACCTCGGGCAGACGGTGCTTGGCCTGCCGCTGCTCCTCCTCGTGGAACATGGCCTTGGGCTTCTCGTCCTCAGACTCACTGTCCGAGAGTGGCTCGTTGATCCAAGCGTCTAGGTCCAGACTGCGCCAGACAGGGAGGTCACACAGCGCCCCGCCTCCCCGGCCAGCTGAGGGCTGCACCGAGGCAACCGTGGGCACCCACCCTGAGCAGGGTCACTGTGGTACGGCCCTGCCCTTCACACTCAGGAGGGCCCACACAGGCTGCACCGCCCCAGAGGCTCACGGCAAGGGCTGGGACAGACCCACTCCCCGGGCACAGCACCAGGCCCACGTGCGGCCCACAGGAACTGGCCAGAGTCCAGGTCAGTGACACAAAGGGGTCACCAGCCAGATGGGCGCCCCTTGCCCCCTACACCCTCCTGGCCAACAGTGGGTCCTGGGTGCAGTTAGCCTGCGGTCCCTCCCAGCATCAGGGACATCAACGGGCTCACCCTTCAGGGACTGGAACCTTCTTCTGGGCCTTGGGAGCCACGGGGTTCAGCTCCCCAGCAAAGAGGGCACTCACTTCCTCTGCCACAGGCACGGCCTTGGCCTGTAGCTTCTGCACGTGCTTGACCAGCTGCAAGATGCAGGACGCCTGGGGGACACAGACAGGTCACAGACAGCAGAGACGGCCACTGAGCCACCCTCGGGGACGGCAATGCTCAACCACCCCACCTTGAGCCACGTCAGCCACAGCCCAGCCAACAAGCCACCGTCTTGGTCACCAACAGGACAGCAAGGGCATGACAGAAGGAGCTCTGCGCCTCACGTGAAGACGCCCCCCCACCAGGTGTGCACCCCAAGAAACCCGCAGCGCCACCTCCCATAGGGGCTGCCTCGGGGCTCTGGGCCTCGGTGCTGGCTCCCTCAGAGGGCAGAGACCACAGGCCAAGGCCACGGCCGGCCCTGGCAATGCCAGCATGTGCAGGGTCCAGGTCTGTGGCCCACATGCACCTCCTCAGCCAATGTCACACACCAGACTCTATCGGGGGAAACCAGGGACCTGGTGGGTGACACCGGGCGCCAGTGTGTGGCCTAGTCCATGGAGAAGCCACGTCACCCACAAGGCACTAGGCTCCCAAATGTGGAAATAAGGGACAATCTTGGGTCCCCCCAGGGGAAGTTTTGGGCCCCAGCTGGCCCTAAAAAGATCCATGGCCTCCAAGCAGCTGGAGCCACCAGGAGGTCTGGTCCCCGCGGACACTGAGACGGCACCTTACTAACACATGTTCTCGAGGCTTTGAGAAACCCCGACGGGGTGGAAAATGCAGACACGGGAGGAACAGAGGACTGAACGCTGAGCGCCGTGCTGTGGTCTAAATCCCCCAGCTACGCGAGGGCTCGCGGAAGGCTAAGACGGATGCTACGGACTCACCATTGGGGAGGAAGGAGGGGGAGGGATAAAAAATTACCTGGGGAGTACAAAAAAATGTATAAGAAGATTTAAGAATGAAAAAAAAAAAAATCTAAAAAAAAAATTCCCCGATGGTCCTGTCACTTTAACATTCCTTTCCACCAATCCGAAAATCTCTCATCTACCTGTGCCTGCCCCCACTTTGGGATATGCCTTTTGGGCCAGGTCTGCCTGAAATGTCCCCACCCCTGTAAAGCCTGGCTGTGAGACGTCGGGGAGTCTGGGGCTCGAGTGTTAGTGGACGGTTCTCCTTGCATGATGCCTTGTGATAAAACACCTCTTTTTCCCGCCATGGCCCTCGGCGTCAGTGTCTGGCTATCCGGGCTGGTCACAGAGTCACAGCTATGTGGCCCCCGAAGCCCAGGCTCCCACCCAATTGCTTGGCCACGTGCCGTGCACCACAAGGGCCAGCAGGGTCCCCGCCCACCCAGCACCCAACAGAAACCTGCTGCCACCTAAGGCCACCCTTGCAGGCCAAGGAACCCCCAGTCCCGGAAGGGGTGGGACCGTGACAGGGGATTGGGGAAGGTATGAAGGCACCATGCAAACGGGTTGCCACTGGGCAGAAAGAACCAGCGGCTCGTCGAGGACTCTTCCCAGGTTCAGACGCTGTCATCAGCCCCTGCGGAAGCCACAGCTGGTCCAACATGGGGCCCAGCGTGCACACCTGGCCTTACCCGCTCCTGCACCTCCAGGTCCGCGCTCTGTACAAACTGGGGCAGCCGGTCCACCATAAGCTGGGTGACCGCCTGGGCCTCCTCCATGTCCGCCGCCTGCTCCTTCTGCTGCAGGATGGAGGCGTACAGCTTGACGACGTTCTGCACGTACACGGCCTGGATGTGGCCGGGCAGCGTGGTGACTTTGGGCCGCAGCATGGCCTCTAGGGTGTGCTGGGGCTCCTGCAGGTGCCTGGGGACAGGGGGCCGGGGTGAGGCCTCTGCAGACACCCACCCTGGTGGCTCCTCTCGAGGTGAGGAGCAGAGGCTTGGGCTTGTCACACAGGGAGTGACTCTGGGGCTCCCTCGTGCCCTGATCGGGCTGAGAGATGGGATTTGAAGGCATCAGGGACCATAAACGGCTGTAACAGGGACACGACAGAGACATGAGCATCACAGAGTGGCTGGATGGAGGGAAGGCAGAGAACCGCGGGAAGAAGACCCTGTCAGCACCGGGGGCTGGCTCTAGAGAGGTGGAAGGGAGAAGAGGAGGAGGAAACTTGGGGAAAGACTGAGCGGTCTGCAAGACCAGGGCTCTGTGGTGTGGGCGACACTTGAGCTGCTGCTTTTTCTGTGATCAAAAAAATGTTTATGGGCCGGGTGCGGTGGCTCATGCCTGTAATCCTAGCACTCTGGGAGGCCGAGGCAGGTGGATCGCTCAAGGTCAGGAGTTCGAGACCAGCCTGAGCAAGAGCGAGACCCCATCTCTACTAAAAAAATTGAAAAAAATTAGCTAGACAACTAAAAATATATATATATAAAAAATTAGCCGGGCATGGTGGTGCATGCCTATAGTCCCAGCTACTTGGGAGGCTGAGGCAGGAGGATCGCTTGAGCCCAGGAGTTTGAGGTTGCTTTGAGCTAGGCTGACGTCACAGCACTCTAGCCCAGGCAACAGAGTAAGACTCTGTCTCAAAAAAAAAAAAAAAGTTTACGGTAAACTCTTTTCCCAGGAGAGGATGACAGGACACAGGCCAGTCTTCATTGAGCTACAGCACGTCCAGGGTGGGGCAGAGGCTCAGAGGCCGGCGGGGGGCAATGACGGGATGGAGGGGCAGCTGCCCTACAGCGCCTGCTGGGCCAGGCCTGGGCCGCAGGGCAGAGGCGGGGGATAGCAGCAAATCTTAGTCTTTCCAGGAGAAATCGGGAATCCAGATTTCTGTGTGACAGTGCCTGAGCTGAGGCCTTAGCAACACACCCCACTTTCAAGGGGCTCAGGGATCAAGTCTGCTCGGCAATGGCTGCCACTATCCTCTTGGGGCCGGTGCGCCCCTGGACCAGGGAGTCCTTGTAGTCTACCTAGAGCCTGGCACTGAGACTCCTGGACCCCCCAGAAGGGCCTGGCAGCAGGCAGGCTGGGGCTGAGTGCCTCCCAGAGCTCCTGCCTGCAGGGCAGGCCTGGCGTGGGGGCAGGTCTCACTGTCGCCCACCTCCCAGGTATCTGAGCAGAGCCAGGGCTCTCCCTGAGCCTCACAGGCCAGCCCCCTTCCACAGCTCCCCAGGGCCCAGGGGATCTATGGTCTCATGGGCACCATAGAACCAGAGCAGGGCAGAGTGGATGGGGTGCATGTAAGATCAGCCGGCATCATCCCTTCATCCTGTCACTGCCAGGGAGCCTGGGGGAGCTGAGCCTGTCCCTGCACCCACTCACTCCGAGAACTCCCCGCAGATCCAGGCGGCAGCATAGAGCACCTCGCAGATCCCATTCCGCTGGGTGCTGCTGGCTACCAGGTGGGCATTGTCAAGCAGCGTGGACATCTGGGACACGGCAAATTTGCGGATGGCCTTCACGCGGATGGCCACGTCCAGCATCTGTGCGGCGATGAGGTGGCCATGACGGGTGCCCTCCAGCCGGGTGAGCTCCACCAGGATGCTGATGTACCACTCGAAGTTGGTGATGTGCTGGTAGTTGGACTGGCTGCAGATGTCGATGATCTTGGTGAGCAGCTCATCACGGTAGGTGGTGCCCTCGGCCTTGTCCACGTGGGTCATCAGCTTCTTGACGATCTCCATCAGGTTCTTCTTGGACACCTGGGGTGGGACAGGTGAGGGAGGCCCAGCTCTGAATCCACGGCTCACGGGTGGACCTGCGTGTACAGGCCTACACCGGGGAGGCCGTGCATACCTGTGACAGATGAGGAGCACAAGGCCCCCACGGTCACTCGGTGGGCCTGGCCCCAGCCCCCGAGTCCAGATGTGTCCTTGGAGCAGAGGTCAGACCTGGTCCCCAGTGCCCGGCCCCCACACGCTGCTAACCCTGAACTTGAGGGTCTCCTGACACCCACGTGCTGCTCAGGGCTTTGATACCTGAGGGTTAAAGTCCCTCAAAGTGCTAAGACACGGTGGGGAAGCCGGGTGGGCGGGCACGCACCATTCCGTACAGCAGGTCCAGGGCCCGCAGCCGGATGGACTCGTCCTTGTCGTCCAGACACTGCAGGATGAGGTCCTTGTGGGACTGCACGGACTTAGGGTGTGTTTTCAGGATCTTGGACATGGCCAACAGCCCCAGGTACTTCACTGCAGAGACGGCAGGAGGCGATTAGCCCGGACACAAGAAGGTGCTGGTGCCATGGCAGGGCACAGAGCACGTGAGCCAGTCTCTGCTTCAGATAGCAAAGCCGAGGACGAGGAGGAGGAGCAGGAGCAGGAGGAGGAGGAGGAGTGTTCTGTTTACTGCCCAGGCCTCCACGGGGACAGCGTGCCCAGCCCTGCTCTAAAACAAATCTGGCTTCTAATGAGCACCCTAAACACAGCCCCACACCTGGGGCCAGATGCCAGGCGGGTGGTCCTGAGCTGGAATCCCTCACAAGGATACAGAGGTGCCCGCCGCAGCAGTGCCATGTGCTATTGACCAATCAATGCCACCCCCCCCCCCAAGAGATGCAGAGCCTTGTACGTCAGGACACCACGGACCAGATGCTCGGTGAGCACACGTCAGTGTAGCTGACCCCCTGCCCGATCCCCTTCCCCCCAACTGCCCCCCTGGGACCAGGAGGATCTTCCTCGAGGCCCCTGCCCTGGCTGTCTGCACACACCAAGCCTCCTGAAAACCTTCTGGCCTGGCAACCTTCCAGCTGCCCACCACGTGGGTCGAGGGGAGTGGGTGCAAGTGGGCTGCACGGTACTGGCGGGGGCTGTCTCTGAAGCCCGTGTCGCTCTGCCAGCACCGGGTCTGTGAGGAAGAGGACTGGGCATCGCTGACGCTGTTCACGCTTTCCTCCCACATGGGGAAGAGACCTGACCTCACAAAGGTGTAGGAAACGGAAATGAAAGAGTAGGGCGGGAGAGCGACTCACAGTTCTGATCCGAGTCTTCTATCAGTATCCTCAACTTCTGAACACAGAGCTGCAAAGAGGAAACGTGACTCCAGCCGGCCCTGGCCCCGGCCTCCATCTGCCCGCCCCACAGCCCAGAGGACAGGAGAGAAGCAGGCTGGACCCTTGCAGCGGCACGGGCGGGGGGCCAGCCTGTCTGGGGCCCACACCAGGACCCCACTCCACTGGGCACAACAGTGAGTCTATAGGCACCAGCGAACACAGATGCTGCCACCACTGTAAACATGCCACGTGGGGACACACGTCCAACTGCACAGTGTGCCCCGTAGGAGGGACTGGGATCCAGGGACTTACTGTACACATTAGTCACATAGTTAAAATAAACTTGAACCAAACAACATGAAAAACAAGAAACGACCATCCCAAAGGCCTCCAGGCCAGGCAGCTTGGGGACAGAGGAGGGCTGTCCCCAAACATGGGCAAGACACAGAGACACAGTCTGGGTGGCTACCCTGAGCACTCGGGCAGGAGCACCAGGGCCGTGGCTCAGTGGGCGTACACAGCCCACAACACACCACACAGAACAGAGGGGGCCAGGACAAGGCAGACAGCGGGACAGGGGCTTCTGCGGTCACACCCAGTCAGCAGGGGGCTCCCAGCCCGAGGAGGAGCACAGTGGCCCGGTGAGTACCTGGATGCTGGCGCTGTGGTTGGGCATGCCGGAGGACAGCGAGATGAGCACTGAAACAGACAGCCGCCCAGTGAGTGTCATGCCGTGGCCACGTCACCACCCCAGTGTCCACTGTGGCTCCTGCCCCTCGCCCGGTATGGGGATGGGGGTAAGGGCAGAAACGCCACCGTGTGGAACTGCTCCTCCCAACGGTGCCCACACAGGACAGAGCCGCAGCGCAGGGTTGGGGCTGTGATCTCAGAAGGTGCTGGTGAGGCAGCCCTCAGGGCATCTGGGAACCTGGACGGCCCCACCTCACTGACAGCAGAGGCGGCTGGGCCTAAACTGCCCCTGCAAACACCTCTGTCTGCACCTGACCCTGCTGTTCTCTGAGTCTGGAATCCCGGCACAGGCCAGGCAAGGGGGCCGCGTGACCAGCCCCCATGGACACCTGGGTGGGGTCCCTGTGAGCTTCCGTGGGGACAATACTCCATGCCTGTCATCACAGCTTGCTGCTGGGGATGGAGCACGTCCTGCATGACTCCATGGGAAGAGGGTTCTGGAAGCTGGGCCTGGCCTCCCCGGCTCACCCCGTGCCCCTGCCCTTTGCTGACTCTGCTGTGTCCCTTTGCTATCGTGAACCACGGCTGCCAAGACGACCACGTGCTGAGTCCCGGGGCCCTCCCTGTGCACCCCTGTGCTACCAGCTACCAGGAGGTCTGGGACCCAGCTTGCCGTCTGAGTCTCCAGGCCTGCACCTCTGCCCCGCCCCTCACCAGGTCCCAGGGAGTCGGGAAGGCGGAGTCCAATCACAGCCCCAGGGTGTCGGCCACACAGCATCCCGTCCAGGGCAAGTTCCATGGGAGCCGGGGCTACAGATGGTGTTGGGGCCACGCCCCACATGCCAGCTCTTGGTACTGTCATCCAACAGCCACTGCTCCTGTGATTTGCGTGGCCCTGGAGATGCCTCACCCGTACCCACTGCCTCTCCCTGCACCCCAAATTCTCCCCACCCCATCACTTCTGATCCTCCTGCCCTGCCACACCCTCTTTCCTGGTGAAGGTCGCCTCCCACTGTCCCAGAGCCTTAGGGACGCTCACAGCCCACACAGCTGTCACAGACTAGACCTGGGCCGGCTTCTCATGAATCACTGAACATCAGACCCCCTCACGGGTCCACAAGCAGCAACTGCTGGCGCAAGAGCTGACGCAGGGACTCACGCCCACCCCGTACCCCCCGCAGGCACAGGCAGCCAATGAGAACCCGAACCTCACGCAGCCCGGCTCTGACACCAGCTCACGAGAAAGCTGTGAAGCCAGCAGCCAGCCGGGCCCTGCCAGGAGTCACGACCCTGCTTTTCCAACAGGACGATGGTGTGGGCTGAAGGGGCGGGGGGGACTCCTAATTCACCAACCACAAGGAAGTGCGCCAGACAACTGCACCCAGACAAACTGGTTCTAAAGAGACTGTCCTCTACCCCTGGGGACACTGTCAGCCAGGCCGGGCCTGAAGGGCGACTTCTGATTCCGCCTTACAAAGCGATTTTGTTGTAGACACCAATGCTATATATCTCTAGTGAAACAACGTGCCTCGGGTTGCTTTAAAGAATTCTCAGAAACAGCAGCTGTCGGCGGGTCTGACAGTGGGCGCAGAGCGGCCGGAGCCCACGGCTCTGGAAGGCGGGAGACAGGCTCCGCCTGTAGGTATGAGATGACTCCGGGACGTGGCGGGGGGCTGAGCTGCTCCAGAGCCCCAAGCAACACCCCCCGCGTAGGGCAGTGGGGCGCTGGGCAGAGATGCGTGACCACGAGGAGGCCCGGTCGGTCGCAGGCCCCGCCACGGGGCTTTCCACCTCAGCTTCAGCAGGGGCGACACTTGAGGGCACTTTGTCCCCTCTCCCCCTACTGAGGACAGCCGCCCCTTCCAGAACAGGACCCGTGTCAGCTCTCACCTGCAATCACAGTGTTCACACACTCGTAGAGAAGGGACATGGCAGATGTGCTGCAGAGGGAGGGCAGAGAAGCGGCGTGAGGACAAGAGTCGTGTCAGAGTAGGGGACGGCCCCCTGTACCGCCTGCCAGGCAGGGCCGCCAGCAGCTCTGGCCCCGGAACTCTGGCTGCCCAACGGTGCGAGGACACGTGGGGGCACCTGCTCACCTGTGGATGAGGTTGGTGAGAGGCTCGATCAGCTTCTTGCCCAACCTCGGCTCCAGAGGCGTCAGAGCACCAAACTGCAGGGCGAGAGGGGCGGTCACCGCGCAGGACGGTGCTGACGCAGGAAGGGCCACCCGCAGCAGCACCAACTAGGCCCCCCTGGGCCAGGCGAGCACGAGGGGATACGTCCTGCGCTACTTGCCAGCTTGATGATCTTGATGAGGACCCAGTTGTTGGTGGAGGACGTCATCAGCTTGAAGAACAGTGGGGCCAGGGACAGGTAGTTCTTGGGGTTGCGTCTGGCCAGCTCGCAGATGACGTTGACAGCGGCTGACTGAACCCCTGGGGAGCAAGGGGGTCCTCATCAGCAAGAGGGGGCATCCTCACAACTGGGGGGGGGGCCTCACAAATGGGAACCCTGTGGTGTGGGCCTCGAAGCACAGGCATGAGAACAAACTCGTGACCGTCACCATGTACACGGACGGCCAGCACAGCTGACACGGCGTGGATGAGTGGCAGTGTCGACACAGGCATGCACGCGTGCGCACACACACACACACTTCCTAGCTCTGTGTGCTAAGTGGTGGGCCCAGCGGCTACGATACCCCAGCACCGCGAGCACACGCAGTGCCAGATCTTCAACAATGAAGGAAGCAGGGCCGCGTGGAGAAACGTGGACTCCGGGCCGGGAAGGGGGACGTGAACCTGGCATCTTGTGGTGCCAGAAAGCAAAGACATGCTCAAGAAATAAGGGGAGGTGGCAGGTGGGCACGGGAACACACGCGAAAGGGCGCCCGACGGCCAACCTGAGACAATGGGAGCAAATATACTAACAACGAAGGTGTGGATAACAGCCCATAGGGTACAACAGGCACCTATGAGTTCGTCCTGACGTAAACCGACAAGTGACGGAACAGACAGCGCTTTCTGCCCTAGGACCCTAACAAACGAACGAGGAGGAGGAGGATGGGGGAAGCTCTATCCGGCAGGACCGGAGCCGTAGCCAGTTCAGGCCAGGCCACAAAGGCCGACGTCAGCAGGGAAGCAAGCATCTACGCCGCTGCTGAGTATCCCCATGTGGCTCTGTCACCCGGCTGTGCCTGCATTGGCTGCTCCATTCTAAAACTGCCACCCTTAGCACGATGCTTCTGAGACCTGGTCTAGCAAATCAGGGGGAGCAGGAACCCCCGAATCCGCAGCCTGTGGGGCAGAGGGGTGGCTGGCATGGCCGGAGGCAGACTTGTGCCGGGGAGGCTGGGAAGGGCAATCTGGTCTACACTTGGGCAGCAGTGTCCCATCAACGTTCGCTTCTTTACTTGTCTTGACTTCACTTTGATCACACAAGACAGAATATTCTGGAAAGCTGGGTAAAGGGCATACGGGAATTCTTTGTACTATTTTTTCAAGTTTTTTATAAATCTGACATTATTTCAATATAAAAAGATAACCTAAAAAATTTTAATGATTAAAAAAAAAAAAGAAAAAACCTGAGGGAGAAAAATGTGGGGTCCCTGTGAGCTTCCGTGGGGACAATACTCCATGCCTGTCATCACAGCTTGCTGCTGGGGATGGAGCACGTCCTGCATGACTCCATGGGAAGAGGGTTCTGGAAGCTGGGCCTGGCCTCCCCGGCTCACCCCGTGCCCCTGCCCTTTGCTGACTCTGCTGTGTCCCTTTGCTATCGTGAACCACGG